AAGGTAGAAGTGAGAATTCAGTCGAGCTCTCTCATACCTGACTGTAATGTCAAGAAATGTAAACAAAGAAATTAACCCTTTGTTATGCATTTACCATATTTGATAGAACTCAACAACTTTGAAATGAAAGTTTTTGTAAATATGAAAATATTTAAAATCTCATTAGAATCAGCTTCATTTTATTTATTGAATTTTCGGTTTAATGTAAATGTGGAAATGCATACTTACACAAAATTACACACTAAATGAAACACACTCATTTATAAAACCGTTTTGACAATTTTCTTGCTTTTACTAGCCCAATGTTTTTGAGCATTTATTTTTTTATTCAAATACTTAATTCAAAAGTATATTACACATTAAAAAAAAGTTTGACTCTTCTAAATTTACACCAGAACTTAACTTCAATAATTTATCTATTAAATTTTTGCTATTCGAAATTTCCTTTCCATTAAATTTATTTAAAATTACTTTCAGTTTCTTTATGCCAACAAGAAATACTGGTTTAGGTTTTATCAGACCACCATTTGAAATTTGGCCTATCCATGCATGTATATGAAAGGGAGATTTTCTTTTCATATTCGGTATGATAAATCCTGCACCTGGGACCAAACGCGTCCACTTAGAAATACTCGACTGCGATAGGCAACAAATAAAGTCACGACCACACGTGAAGAGTCTCCTTATGAAACATCGCAGCAATTTGCCCACCGTTGTCGCTTCACTTGACAATTCGAAGGTTTAAAATAACGCACAAGGTTGTTGTCCAGGCTCTTGACAAACACAACGCACCGCTCGCAATTCCTTTTCATTTTATTATGTATTTAAAATCAGTCGCACAGCTNGTTTTCAGAAGGTGCCCTGCTAACTTCCACGGAAGTTAGCAGGGCACTCGATATTTTTTAAAATATGTCCGCGGCAAAATTATTCTTTTCACGGATAATTTACGGATAATTAACGGCAAATTATGCGATAGGAATTTTTGCTTTGAGAAAAAGTTGTCCTGCCAAGTTCAGAGAGGTCGATTGTGTGGATCGGAAACTAAGCCATTTGGACCACCCAGGAGATATCAAGATATGGAGTAGCCCAAAAACCTCCAGGCAATGGCATGCATTGCCGACAAAAATGCAAGGCGGATCCGAATACCTTATATTATGAAAAGATTGTAGTCCTTTTGCCACATGCCATTCTTAACCGTTGGAAGGCTTAGAAAATAAGTTGTGGGTTAAGTTTTCAATTTAAATTAACCTAATTTATTTATTAAAACAATTCCTATTACAAGAAATGTACCTCTTCTCGGTCCGCGTATAATCGAAAGAGGAAGATTCAAGAGAAAGTCAAAAAATATCGAAGCTGTGTTTCTTCATCAACAGGGTTGCATCTTCAGGTATTGGTTGCATACTTCCTTGGAGCTGTGTTCCTTCAGTGTGAGCAACATGTGGGATGCTATAAGGTTCTGTGACAGATGTTGGACGCCACAAAGTTATCGAAATAAGCCATCGTCGAAAAAAAACAAAAACGGTGCATTGTTAAAAAATGGAATACAATTTTTTTTATTGCAAATTTTTTGCAAAAAATTATACACCCCTATTCTGCAACTCTTTCGTATTCGGATTTTGCTACGAATCGTAGAAATAGTATGCTGCAATCCGAATCGTATTTTCGAACTTTCGAAATTCGTAACAACGGCATGCTTAAAAACGAACGAGTAAGCTTTTTTGCGTAATTTTGCACGAAAACAATTCTGTGTCGTAGGCGAAATAAAAGATCTAAATCGATGTGTGTTTGCAAGAAATATTGGTGGTGTTCATTTAAACAGATAAATTTGCCTTTCGTATATTTTTATCCACTGCTTTGTATAAATGAGCAAAAAAGAATATTTGTTGCCCCTTATCGAGAAACTTGGGTCCGGTTTAGTTAATGTACAACGATTTCCGGTTGTTGTGTCCAAACGCATAACCCGAATCCAAAAACTTTAACATACCCGTGTAATCAAAGGATTAACATTTTATTTAAGATAGATGTTTCAAATTTACTACCGCTAGCTTATTAATAAACTCGGTTTTCACTATGCACTTTTTTTTCAAATTTCGACGTTGGTTCTGCGCAAAAATACTGTGGACGCGTAGCCGGAGTAATATGCACGAGAAATGTTGTATACCTTTGACATGCGGAAGCCCTCTTCCCCGCAACACAGAAAGGAGAATTCTACTTAGTAAGGGTTATAGTCCCTAAGCGCGGCCGAAGGCAGAAGCAAGCGCAATAGGTGGTGGGCCTAACAAAGTGCATGTTTTCAATGGCTTGGAAGAAGCTGTTATTGCATTAACTGGATTGAGAACCACAGCTTCAGGCATAGGAGTTCGGGCCCATGGTTACTATGCCCGACAGCTCCGCATAACTTTGTGAATCCATTGCCATAGCGCCCGCTTACTCTGCTGCTATAATTGCAAATACATCAGAATCCATAATTTTCCTCAAAATATGTAAAATTAACCAATTTTACAACAAACAAGCACACGACGAGGGCTTTTTTAATTCCTTTCCACTTTGTTTTTCTTCATTCAGCTATCTTCGAAAAACATCTGATAGCTGGCAATGCTGTACATGTTTCCGCAAGGGGTGCAGCATGTGGATTTTTTGTTTTTCGTAGCGTAGCTACGAATTACGAATTACGAAAATTCGGGTTCTAGAATAAGGGGGATAGTTTCCACCAAAAAGCATAGTGCATAAGTGTGACATGAGATAAGAATTTTAAGAAAACGTGTGACTAAGAAAAATGGCTATAGGTAATTTGCATATGTATGGCCTTATTCATAAAAAATAAAGAAGATTTATAAAAGGTTTATAAATTTAAAACAAACTATGAAAACGTCAGTTTATAAAGCTCTTTAATCCTACTTTATTTTTTATGAATAAAGCCATTAAACTCGTATAACTCGGAAAAAACCGCGGTAGAAAAAAATTCTTTTACACACTGGTTACTCGTAACCATAGCAAAACCTAGTGCAGTTTGAACAAAAAGCTGCCATAAAATTTTTGGGAAAATTTTAGTTTGGCATCCCCCGCGTACAAAAAAAGGTGGTTATGGTCATAAATGTAAAAAATATGTTTGTATTTCATTGTGCTGGGTTTTAATGCACCTATTTTGCCGAAGTGTGTACGTAAATATAGTGTTTATTGTGTGAAATAGCGCCGAGAGGTTAGTTCAATTTACAAACTTTAACAACAAATAACTTAAAAACTATAAGCCTCCGGCGGCTAAAAGTATGTATATATATTTGCAATCAGGAGAATTACCTACCGTTCCATAGCTACCTTAATGCGGAACTCCGGGGATGCCAAACTAAATTGCAGCAAATTTTTTTTCTTCGTACACTTGGCGAATTTTTCCCTACCTATAGTTTTTTTATGTGATTCAACATTTTTATACATACTTTTAAAAAAATTCGAAAATAAAAGTCGTCATACGGCAACACTCGATTAATTTGACACTAATTGCAGCAGATTAAATTGCTAGTGCAACACGAGCAAGTCGAAATATATTTCCGAAACGATATTTCTCCGGAAAAGTCACAGAAAGGTGTTTCTACCTGTTCACACATGGAAATAAAATTTCTATTTCTCAATTTTACGGCATGTTGCGTGGAAAAGTAGGAAATACTGCCCCGCCTGACACGCTCTAACTGCAACTGAAATTACGCAAAACGCCTTCAAGAAATGTTTTCAACCTGCTCGTGCTACACTTGCAATTTTGCTGCCAGTGTTGTGAAAACCAAGGGCGTGAACCGGTTTTGAACCGGAAAACAGTTTTTTTTCTATTAACAGAACCATTAACCGAACCGAAATTTCCTACAAATGTTTGATCCGAACCGAAACCCGAACCACTTTCAATAAAGGTTTAAAGGTTCGTTTCAATCAATTTTTAATAGATAAATTTACCAACTATTTCTTTTTGTTAAACATGGTAATACTTGTTTACCATGTGACAATATCATATGTAAAGACCTATTCCCACGACAGTCGGGTGTACGTAACCGGAACGACCCAGATTTATATTTGGCCAAGGACTGTCACTCCAGCAACCCTCCCCCAAAACTCTTTGGAGAGCTTGTGTGCTGCTACAACAACAACAACAACCCATCTCATTTGACACACGCTTGCCCCTTAACCTTGCGCATTGTTGCACTTGACACTTGACACTTAAACCTGCGCGTATTTTTTTGTTTTTCGAACCGTTGAACCGAACCGAAACCCCGGTTCAAAGATCCAAAAAACCACTTTGATGAACCAATCCAAAAGTGCAAAAATGGTTCGAACCACTGAACCGAACCGACCAAATTTTTCATCCGGTTCACGTCCCTGGTGAAAACCGTCGAGTGTTGCGTATGACGCGATTTTTCGCGAATTTGTATAAAAGTAGCGCCATTCATAAAACGTCGCAAAGTGACAATTTATGCGAAATGGCAATGTTGCGAACAAAGTTGTATGAACGACCTATCGCAACTCCGGATTGCAAATGTAAAATTAAAAAAAAAAAAATGCGCGTTAAAGAAAAATAAAAGGTTTTACAATTACATATCGAAGCAGCCTTAACTGATATACTTTTTCTGAAATATTTGAAGACAATAAAAAAACATATGTTTCGCGACTTTTACTTTACAATGATTGCCAGCTCAAATACTATGGCAATGTCGCAAGAAAGTTTCCATACAAATGTAATAAGCTGGGTCGCATGGTGGCAAATTTTGCGACAAATGCAACATTTGCAACAACTTTGCGACGTTTCATGAATCCCACTTGTATAAAAAAGTTTAATAGCATATAAAAAAATACTTCTAATTTATTTATTTTCTTGAAATAAACTATTTTATTTTATTTTGTGCCATTTTATGTTATAAACATAAAAATATCTGGTAATATAGTTGAAAATGTAATGTTCTACATACAATTGAGGGGTCTTATCAAAAGTGATAAACTTGATAAAGTGATAAATTTATCATTTTGATAAATGAACTGTCAAACTTTGTATGAAAAACTATTTAGCCAAAGTTTATCACTTTACCAAACGATATTGGTGGATAAACGCATACATTTCCGCAAAATTCCACTCTGACATGTTGCCAGGTGGTAGATTTTGTTACGAACACAAAAAGAAAATTTGCACAATGGACGAGGTAAGAATGAAACGTTACTAGCCAGATAAGTTAAATAATAACCAATTTTGTGCAATTGCTTACCAAGGTATGTTTATGAAAAAACAGGATAAACTGATAACTTTAAGCAATTAATCCCTTTATCACTTTACATGAAGACCCCTTTTGTAAACAGATCAAAAGTATCTAGCATCGGAAAGTTCGAACAAAAACTGCTTTCGAAATCACTTCACAAGCAAGGTGTTTCGGGCAGCCTCATAACTGCTCCTGCAATCACTTTTGAAAATTGTTGAGTTTGACAGATATTTTAAAAGGACTTGCACTTGCCACATGTAACAGCTACTCTATACTGATAAGCGAATGGGCAGTTGTTAATGCTAATTATTAAAAATAAACAAATAGTAGATACTCACCGTAATGTTGGCGTGGATATCATAACGCTTGCCATTTTTGCCAATAAATCGGCATGTCAGCTCGTCAACACTGGAATTTAGTATTTGAAAGCGCTCGTGGTTCTTGTTAAATATCTTTTCCAGCGTTTTTATTTCCAACTTCAATGTGTTCAAACAAGCCATCTTGAAGCAGTCAGAATCTGCGTTGGCCTCGTGTTTAGCCGCTCAGCTGGGTAAATTATGTGATGGTGTCGACTGCGGAGTAAGCAGCAGAGGGGGTTGTTTAAAGTCACTTTTCTTTCGCTTATTTACTTCGTCTTCCCTTTGCTTGCCACTTGAGTTGCCACCAATATGTATGATGATAGTGTTGCTGATGCTGGGACTCCCGAGACTGGTTGTCACAGTTAGTTATTTTCTTCCACAGAGGCGAGTTTTTAGGTTTGTCACTTTCTTTGTATTTCGATTTGTTACTTTAGGTGCATTAACTGTTAAATTGCAAACGCGATGATGCTGGGTTGCTCGTGTTTGCTCGATACTCGAGCACTACGCAGTGGCTCACCGAGTAGCTAATCGAAAGCACGAATCTGCTGATGTCAAAATCAGGCAGCAAAGAACGTAGGGTTGGACCGGCTGAATGTGCGGGTGTGTAAAGGCGCCCAGGTACACGGCCGTTTTATCCACCGTAACCGTCAATACTAGCAACGCCAACGTCAACCTTAACGCTGATATCTCTGTCGACTGCGCAGTAACAGTCGCCAGAAATCGTTGTTCCAGGTCGATTTAGGGCGGATTTCTATTTAGAAATCGAATTTTTTCTTTCTCAAACTTTTAGAACTTCGATGTTTTAATACATAGAAAACACTACAAAGTTATTATTTCACACTTTTTAACGTTTGGCAAATTACGTATCATGAAATTATGTATAAATTTTTTCGTTTTTTTTTCACTAGAAATTTACAGTTTTTATGCCTTCTTATAATAAATGGCAATTTTGATAATGTTATCAAAAAATATGTACGCGTTCGTAGTTATTAAATTAAATTAGATGAGTAAAAAATCAAATCAAAAACTCAAAATCGACCAAAACGTACGAAAGTACAATGAGATACGACAAAAGACGACATGAAGTGCATACTGCGACAAGAGGAAAAAATAAGCTGCGGTGAAGAAATCGAACCGAATCGAAGAAATTTACTGAGCACAAACTTGGAATTGGCCACAGCGGTCTACAAGTCCCTTTTCACTTCAATTCCGCTGCCCTTGCCTTTTCATCCAGACTACCAACACTACCCCTCACACTCCGTTCGGGATCCTATTTCCATTGTTCACAAAATGTAAAATTGCAAATTTTTCTTCCTTTGCACTTATGAAATTGTCTAGTTTCTTCAAAGTTCTATTGCAGTTTGGTATATTTTTTTACAAAATGTTATTCGTTGTTACTTATCACACACGCGATTAAAGTTTCTATTTAAGCACAAAAGATTCGCAGAGCTGTGAAAATTAACCAAACCGAAAATCACTTTCGCCAACAAATACAAGAAGCAAAGTGAAACGGAAGACAAAAATTTACAAAGGGTATAAAACGAAGACAGCGATTGCGATGCGCCGGCAGCATTGCCATATTGATTANATGCCACATAGATCATTGAAGCTGCAGCGCGAAGCGAAAAGATGGCCAACTCCCATCTTTTTGCGCGCTTTGACAATCAGCCGGTTTAATATTTATTTTGTTTCGTCCAAATTCGAGTATTCATGCTGAAACATAAAACTCAATTACATTGCTGATAATTTTAAAGCAAAATATCTTAAATCCACAGCAATTTTGACGAGTAAAAAAGCAGTGCAAAATTGATTTCTTGGCGTTCATTGTGGCATACCTTTTGCGTCTGGCGCTTTGCTGGCAAATTTATAAATGTCACGCAAAGCTACAAAGTTTTATCTGGCATCAGCTTATTTTACAANTTGATTAATTCAAGTTTATCACCAATCAATTTTAATCAAAGTTTGAGCTTGACTATTTTACAATAGGGCTATTCGCGACCCGGTGCAAACTGCCTAGCATCATTGCATTGCAAATTTGTATTGCAAATTATTTGCAATACGCAAACATAATACACGCATTTGCTTTTGTCATGGCTTGACAAATTTGCAATACCGAAAATCCATAGCATAAAAATGCTATGCATTGCAACTCCGGTTGACATTTCTATCAGCTGATTAAAAAAGCTTTACCATGACAGTTTAATAAAGGTCGCTCACAATCCATGGCATATTTCTGCAATTGCATAAATTTGTCAGCTCTTATGCACCGAATCGCGAATAGCCCTAATTTAAAGGTTTTAAAATTGATAGAAATAGTTTACTACTTTACTGCCCGTCTCCACAGCATAAAGTTTATATCTGGATACATATGTTAGGATGTAAATATCCAATTGCTCTTCAAGAGCTCTTATATCTTGCCATCTATTGCCAACAATTTGGTAGTTTGACAACTACATTTTTATTTGCATGAAAACTTCGTGGCGGCAGCATCATTCATATTTTAAAACATAAGCAAAAATTTAGCTGTTTCCTGTTAAAATATTTGTAATTATGTACTTGGATGTAAATTAGCCTCTTTCATACATTTTTTTTTAAGCGATTAAATTCGGCAAACATTTTCGAAGCTCACACAAATGCTTATATGAAGATATAAAAAGCCCACACAAATATTGCCACTGATATGAATGAGAGCTGGACAGCAATAAAGTTAATCCTGTGGAGACCGCCAGTTATATACATATATAGTATGTCATACGAATTTTCTTTAACCCCACGTCTTCACCTTCTACTAAATGTGTCTTAACATCTGTCAAATTTCTGTTTTAACTTTGTCCCGTTTTCTCATGTGGGCAACTTGCTGTCTTAGTTGGGGTTTACATAGGACAAGTTTGCGCAGACAATAGCAATGCATTCACTTCCTACTAATACATTCGAACTTCCCTCATTGTCTTCGTCACTGTTTTTGATTTTTCGAAACAGTGAATTGGACAGTAAATTGGACAATTCGGTCACGCCTTGGTTAATTAGAGAAAAAAAGGCAAGCAAAAATATGAACAAATCGCAGAATTATGTAAAAGTGGTTTGTGTTTAGATATTTTAGTAAATAAGATGAATTTCACGCCAAACGACGCTAACGGCGGTTGCTGAAAAATGTATTGTCTTATAATTGTCCGGACGCCTACTTTACACAACAATTTGACAACTAATACATATTCTTAATTGTCTTGTCTCAAATTGTCCTTTGTAAACGCATCGTTAACATATCACTTTCAAAATGGAATCAAGCCAATCAGGTTGTTATTTGCCTCAGCAGAATGGTGAGGCTGCGGTATGTAGCAAGAGCTGTCAAAAGTTAAAAAATTCTACTCTAATGCTAATCTAAGGGCCGTTTTCACCATCTCTGGTTAACACTAATCCCCAGTTAAACATCGTCACANGGTTGTTATTTGCCTCAGCAGAATGGTGAGGCTGCGGTATGTAGCAAGAGCTGTCAAAAGTTAAAAAATTCTACTCTAATGCTAATCTAAGGGCCGGTTACTAAGGGCCGTTTGCACCATGTCTAGTTAACGCTAACTGGAGGTACATCCTTCAGTTAAGCACGTTAACTGCTTCATCGATCACATGTTATATGATGGGTGTCGATAACGTCGATAAAGATGTTTAACTGGGAGTTAGAATTAACTAGACATGGTGCAAACGGCCCTCAATGTCTGGTTAACACTAATCTGCGGTTGAACATCGTTATCGACGTCTTCGACTCCATGCATACAAGAGCTGTCAAAAGTTAAAATATTCTAAGGGCCGGTTACTCAATGTCTGGTTAACACTGATCTGCGGTTAAACATCGTTATCGACGTCTTCGACTCCATGCATACAACAGGGAGTCGGTAACGTCGATAACTATGTTTAACGGGAGATTAGTATGTCCCCTTTCAGACACGTCAAGTCTTGAAAGCAATTTTTTTCGCATTCTCTTTTGTGTTTTCTATTTGCTTCCACACGCGTCAACTTTAATTGAATTCAAGTCCTTGGTTCTTAGATGGGAAACAACGAAAGTTCTAAAAAGATGATTTATTTTGGAACGAATTTCCGTCATCCCTTGTCAAGTTTGGTTTGCAGACAAACCGGTTTCGGCGTTGTGCCATCTTCAGTGTCATTTTTCGTTCTAAATAGTTCTTAAGCTTGGTACCGAGTACCAAGCCAACTTTTGATTCAACTAATCGCCTCTAAAATTGCTTGGAAAATCGACTCATGTGAACACCGTTTAATGATAACATTTCGACATTGGGGTTGTTCAGGATATTGTGCAAATGGTTTTGCATTTCACTTGTTTGTCCATTTGCAAATTTTATGGGCTGTTTTTGCTTACGCGTAAAAGCACATTTAGCGCATTTAGCTCTAAATGCTACTGTAAATGTACATTTATCCATACAAAATTACTCGCCTAAATGCAACTAAATGCAACTCCATTTTTGCATTAAGAATTTAATGCTAAAAGCAACCCTGTGATCTTCCAACATTTCCACGATTCGACCATGAGAAAAAGTGGCAACATTGCATTTTCGAGTATATAGTGGCTAGCTGCGTTTCAGTGATCGCCGATCGAGATTTCATTTATTATTTTACATTATTTGGATAAAGAAAAGTTAAGAAAATTCAATATCGATGTGATGCTGATAGAAATCTGGATCAATTTGTGATCAATTCTGTTTGTTTTGTTTCCTAATTAAGTGAGGAAATATTAATTGACAGCACCGACAAATGAACATATACATAAACAAATGGTCGACCATGGTTAAAACAATTCAAATTTTTGTATTGAAGTTTTGGTTTAAAATTTATTTTTTCCTTTTCGGTAGGGTTTTTGCACATTATCTTTCGCGTGAGAATTGATCGTAATAGATACGGATCTGAATAAGCGACTGGAACACGGCTGTTTGTCAAAAGCATACGATTTCGAACTCGCGTAAATGTACATTTGCTAAATGCGATAGCATGAACGCTCTTCGAAAACATATGTTCGAAAGTGCTAAATGTTGCATTTTAAATGCAGCAAAAACGCTGCATTATGCTTGCTACCATGGTAACCTTTTATATTTTAATCTTTTGAATTTACAAATGAACCGAAATACATATGCACAAGATCCTGAAATCCAATTTTGTAGTAGGTAGTAGGAAGGCTAATACAAATAAATCTCATGAAAACTGTTCCACATTAGGAACAACTCGAAAACATTCCTGAGTTTAATCATGTGAATGTGCACATTTAAACAAATGGAAAATTTGAATCCAGTTAAAATTTGGGCAATTCTCTAGTATTGCGTACAACTGTTAAACAAGGTCCAAAAATGTCGGAAAAGGGCACCAATGGACGTCATTCGTCCCTGTAACAACAATCGAGAGCCGGAAGGTAAATATTATTAACAATTTCAAAGTTATAACCAAAAAACTTTTGTTAAATTCCGTGTACTCTTGTAGCCGGTAAATTTTGTTACCATCTCGTAAGCTGGTAACAAATTATTGCCCCGTGAAATATGCAATGCCAGAATTAGCACAATTCTTCATAGCTGAATCGCTGAATATTTTTACTGCATTACCAACGTTCCTAGAAACACAGTGACAAGAACTGGTAATATTTTTTGGTAATACAATTTTCCGGTTACAAAATCTCCGGTAACGTGCAGAATAGACCTGATAGTGGTGTAATTGCTCATCCAAAAGCCAAATTTAACAAGTTTTTTGGTTATAACTTTTAAATTGTCAATAATATTTACCTTCCGCCTCCCGATTCTTACGGGGACCGAATCACGTCGATTGGTACCCTTCCCTACATATTTGGACCTTTTTAGCAGTTGTACTCTATGCTAGAGAATTACTATCTTGAGTGTCTGAGGATCATTCTTCGAATCGTAATATCTGGGGAGATAGAAACCAAAACCAAAAAAATAAGATAATGGCACAACACCTAAATAATTTTGTGTAGCTAGACAATGACGAACTAGGTTATGTGGTTAATCACAGCTGTTTTTTGTAGAATGGCAACACTGATTTTATCCGTTTATCGTCGGGTTGGTGATTTATCATGCAGAACATTTTCAACAATCATTTTCGCCTTCTCTTTTCAGCAAATATGGACAAGTTTTATCTATTGAAAAATTCATTTGTTTTTCCTTACACTTGCACCTACACTATGAGTACATTCTAGGTTTTTGTAGACAACGACACAGCGGTTGGGAAGTTGTATGAATATTTTTATCTTATTGTGCTTTATATTTATTTTATTTTTATTTAAGAGCTAAACTACCGGAACGCACGTACACTCTGCTACGCTTGCTGCCACTGTTGCCACTTCGTAAGAATATTGTGATATCGATAATCCTTGACTACTTGACGGATTTACCAAAAATATCCAGGTTTTTATCGCTGGATTATTAAATAAACGCTCACGATGACCAAATTACAGTTCAATTAACTTTATTGTACAACAAACACTTTACAATACATGTTTATGCAATAACAATAAACAGTACATACTCATTCCCACGACAGCCGGTTCTA